TCCCAATTTTCCCCAAATCCCTGAATTTCTCCCCAAATTTGCAGGAGTTCAAGCTGATGTTCGGGATGCTTTTCTCCCTCCGCTCCTTCGTGGCCAAGATGAGCCCCACGGATATGTATCCAAAAATTGGGATTTTGGGGCAAAAAAACCCAAAATTTGGGAGATTTGGGGGATTTGGGTGATTTTTAGGTTTTTGTTTGGTTTCTTGGGGGTTTTTTTGGGGATAATTTTGGGGCAATTTCGTGAACATTCTGGGAAAATTTTGGGAAAATTCAGGAATTTTGGGGTTGATTTAGGGACAATTTTGGGGTGATTTTGGGCGGGATTTTTGGGCAATTTTGGATGGGATTTTGGGGCACATTTTGGGCAATTTTTGGGCAAATTTGGGATGATTTTTGATGGGATTTTGAGGCGATTTTGCGTGATTTTGGGTGAATTTTGGGGTATATTTTGGGGCAGATTTTGGGCAAATTTGGGATGATTTTTCAGTTGATTTTTGGTGGGATTTTGGATGAATTTTGGGGCAATTTTGGGTGGAGTTTGAGCAAATTTGGGCCAATTTCCGTGGGAATTTCGACCTTTCCCACCCAGAACCCCCCGAAAACTCCGAAATTTCAGGAAAAATCCATGAAAATCCCTAAGAAATGGGTAAAATCCCCATTTTTGTTTTCCTGAGCGGCGCAGGAGGGACGGGTTCGTCTCGTTCCACACCAGCCGGTACCGCCTCCATTACCTGGAAACGCCCACCGGGCTCCGATTGGTTCTCAACACCGACCTGGGCGTGGCCAACGCGCGCGAGGCGCTGCAGCACATCTACAGCAACGTGAGGAAAAAAAAATTTAAAAATTGGGATTGGGGGGAATTCCGGGGGGAATTAACAAAAATCACAAAAATCCTGGTGTGAAAATTCCCAAAATCGCAAAAATCCTGGTGCGAAAATTCCAAAAAATTCCAAAAATCTCCATCTTGAAATTCCTTTAGAGACCAAAAATCCTAAAAGTCCCATCCCTAAAACCCCAAAAATAAAAAGATCCCAAAAATCCCCAAAATCCCGATCCAAAAAATCCCCAAAAGTCCTGGTTCAAAAATTCCCCCAAAATCCTAAAAATTCTGGACCAAAAATTCCCAAAAATCCTAAAAATCCTGGACCAAAAAATCCCTCAAATCCTAAAATTGCGCAAAATCCTTTTTCCCCATAAAATAATGAGGATTTCCCCAAAACAATGTGATTTAAAAAAAAAGGGATTTTTT